TACACACACACACACACACACACACACACACACACACACACACACTCTCTAAGACTCTCCCTCTCTAATAAAACTGTCACAGACGTAATTGGGTGGGATATTTTGGAAACGATTTCTCCTGACTGGAATCTTAAGCATAATAGAGATTTCTGTTGACTTGTAATCCTTCCCCGGGAAACTTTACGTGTGTGTGTGTGCACAGGTGCGTTATCCTCCGGCAAACATACCTGATTCATCCTGATTAGAATGAATAGAGAAATGCCTGCGTGTGCCGCTCACGCTGAGAAAATCACAGCCCTTGCACCCCTCATTCTCTCCCTGTCTCTCTCACACCAGAGGACAATTTTATCACTCAAGTGTTTCTTTCATCGCTCAGTAGACTTAAAGTCAACATACATTTTCCTAATATACACTCCTGGTCTTACTATGAACATTTCATCAGTACATGTTATTTCCTTAAAAAAATTGTACCTTAGTAATCTTTCAGCAAAATGTTTCACTACTAAAATGACTTTCCCTTTAGGTTAATAATGTTGACCAAAAGTCTAATAACTACTTAACCTATTCTAAAATCATGTCAAAAGTTAAAGCATTATTTAATGATGGTTAATGGTTAATTCAAAACAAATTATGGAAATAACAGCAACAGATGAAAAGAAGTGACACCCTGGGTATATGGCTCCACATCTAGGTCAGAAATTGGTTGTAGGCCATGTTCCAAGGTCATTCTTCATCGAAAGTAAACTCATATGCAGGTCTCTCCATTGTAGTATGGAATGCCCATTTTTCACAATTCGATCAATATGGAATTAATTTAAGCAATTTAAGTTTGGGGTCAGTATTTTTTTAAGTATTTTTTTCATACTTCTAATTAGCAGGGATGCAGTAAATTGATCAAAATGACAGCATTTTTGTTATAATTTTTTTTTTTCAAATAAATGCTTTTTAAAAGTTTAACATTTTGTTAAATAAATGTTTTAAAAATTAAAAATTAAGCAGCAAAACTATTTTCAACATTGATAATAATGAGACATTTCCTGAGCAGCAAATCGGCATATTATAATGATTTCTGAAGGATCACGTGACACTGAAGACTGGAGTAATGATGCTGAAAATTCAGCATTGCCATTACAGGAATAAATTACATACATACATACATACATTCATACACACACACACACACACACACACACACACATACATACATACATATATACATATATATATATATATA